GATAATGTAGGAATAAGCAGCCAGTTAATTACCAGCTACTGTGTTTTTAAGGCTTAATAAGCACCAGCAGGCAGGGAAAATAATATTAAACAATAATGTCATGTTTCACCTCCTTCTTTCCCACTACCTTACTTATCATCTAATGAAAATGCTCAGCTAGCTCAAAGACCCTCCCTGATACCACATTTCACTCTGAAATATGTCACGATACAAAAAGAAAATGTTATGGTTCCTGATTTGACTTTCAACACTATACCAAACATTTCGACATAACCAATGTCTCTAATAGAATTTTAGACCTCTAATATCTTATGACAATTTAAAATATGTTACACTACTGATTTATCTAATATTTACTTAACACATGAGTACTAAGAAACATTTTTACAAGAAGCTGTGCAGAGGCTTCTAGCTCAGCCTCCCTGACGTGTGCAATTTTAAAGAGAAGTGGTCATTAGGATAACTTAGACCTCACTGAAATGCAGTCAGAAGAAATGGCTAAAACTTAGAGAAGTAGATTTATTCACTTCAGCTGTCGATTTTTGAGTACAAGGTGTTTGAGTTTGAGTCTAACTTGCATACCTAATATCTAACTATTTATATATATATATATATATATATATATATATATATATATATATTATATATATATATATATATATATGTGTGTGTTGGCCTCCTGCCCTTTAGCACTGTTCTAGACTAGATGGGTGGATTTTGATCTTAATAATGATCAAAATCTGTACATTTTACAGTCATATAATTTCTTAGTAATACTTCCTTTTACTGTAATTCAGCAGTTTCACTAGTTCAGCTAGTTATTCTGACATACAGTATTTTACCATAATAATAACAGTAACAGACATTAAAATAAACACAAGTGTCTATGAAATAAAGGTGATGACGTTTTGTGAATTTACATCCTATTTCTGTACATGATTAGTTTACATGAATGTACATTTTTTCAAAAAAAAAGATATTGACCATTAATGTTGCAGTATTTTGATGGTGAAAGTACTTTTTTACAGTGTAAAAAACAAAAACAGAAGGAAAAACAAATATCTAAATACTGTAGTTTTGTAACAAAGTCCTCCAACCAACCTCCACCATACTAAAAATAAATAAATAAATAAAAATATCAGATCTGTATCGGCTGATATTCGAGGTTTCTGTATCAGTATCAGAGCAAAAAAGTGGTATCGATCCATCTCTAGCAACAAACAAAGGGGCGACAGTCAGTAGCTATACCTCTACAAGGTAGAAGTAGCTGGCAGCTCAGTGTAAAATCACACCATTATCTATGGCTGGTCTTTTGAAGCTGAGCTCCACATATTACAGAGAAAAAGAAAGTAGGTGGATTTGGAATCTAGAGAATGGTTGTCACTGTTCCCCATGTGTCTTCAGTGGTGATAATCTGTCCAAGAGCTTTACCACACCATAACTTTTCAACCTGGGTTCATGTAGCCACAAAGAGAAAATGTGAAGGGTGGGCTACTGAAGTGTGTCCAGAAGTTTACATCATAGCACCGCTGACCGTGCTCTGCCCCAACAAGCCTTGGCCTCAGGGATCCACTGTGGGTTTCTCAATTTTTGCACTTGTGGCAGAACTCTGGCTGAGTTGAAATCCAGAAAGATGTGGGCTTGCTTCGTGGTTCTGTCTTAGGTCTTTCTTGGAAGTCCTGTCCTGTGTCTGCAATTCATTGAGGTGTTTGAGTGGTTTCCTTCAATAGGTATTCCACAAAGAATTCCTAATTAAAAACTCGGATTCCTGACTGCTAAAACAGTTTAGAGTTTAAAGGACATGTAGTAACATTTTCCACTGGCTGTACAAATTAAATTAGATGTACATTAGAGGTCAAATGAATTAGTGGCTTTTTTGCAACAACTCAAATGTTTTACAGACCTCATATTTTTTTACTATGTACAGCTTTTACTTTTTTCTTAAAATCCACAATATCCATTAACTGCTCATTCACCACTTGATTTTTTGTCCAGGCTGCCTGCTTTTCATGTATAATAACTAAAGTGTTAACTTGCCAATAGCAGTCTTCCCCCATTTAGTGTCTATTACAGTAACCTGTAGAGTTGAATGATACTAGGGGAAAGTCATATTGCAGTACATTAGGATTGTGCAATAAATATTACAAAATAGACATAAAAATTAACATGAAATATTATCAACATTTCCTGAATGGAGCAAATTATGCCTCTGGAAATGGGAAGAGGGCATTTAGAAGAAGAATTAAGGCGGTACTCTGATTAGGGCTGTGGGATATGGACAAAACAAAATATTACAATTATATTGCTACAAACCCAATTCCAAAAAGGTTAGGACAGTATGTAAAATGCTAATAACAGAACATAAAGATTAGTTCATTCTGTTTGGCCTATTAAAAATGATGCATCATTGTTGTAATTTGCACACGTTTTCAGTGGGAGACAGATCTAGACTGTAGTCAGGGCCAGTCTAGTCTGATTAAGCAGTTGTACCATGCTGTTGTAACACATGCAGAATGTTTTTATGGTTATGTTGAAATAAGCATATGACAAAAGACATCATCAAAAGGCAGCATATGTTGATCAGTGTTTATGGTGCTTTCACAGATGTGCAAGTTACCCACTTATACCCCACCCCAACCCCCACCCCAATAACATGACAAACCTGGGCTTTTGAATTTTATGCTTGTAACAACTTGAATAGTCCTTTTCATCTTTGGCCCAGAGAACATGACATGCATTATTTCATTAAACAGTCTCAAAGTTTAACTTGTCAGACCACAGTACATGTTTCCAAACATTATCCTTAAACAAAGTGGCAAGCGTCAACCCATCCTTAGTCATAAGGATTACTCATTACTTTTTTTTTTTAAACATTTCACAACGTTTGTTCACTTTAATTGTCCATGTCCCAACTTTTTTAGAACATGTTCCAGGCATTAATTTCAGAATGAACATTTGTTTATTTATGTTCAAGTACATTCAAAGTAGATTTATAAATTACTGCTTTGTTTTTTTTAGTTGCATTTCACATATTATCCCAACTTTTTTGGAATTGAGGCATATTTGTGAATATTACAATTGTGATATACCTTCCAATGTTTTGAAAACACATTAGTGAATCAATGATATAAAGAGTGCCTAAATCCACTACTCTTGTCTAAATGGTGTGAATGTCTTGATTCTTCTGAACATCCAAAGAACACCTTCAGTGATTGGTTAGAGGCTCATTTGCATATTGCATATTATAAGCTTTTGTGATGTTAGTATTGAGAAGGCCAGTGTCACAGTAAGGAGTGAGATTAATTCTGAATCTGTAATACTTTTGGGTGGATAACTTTCTTCAACATAGCATAGAAGCAGCTCAATTTATGGCACAATCAATTTTGCGAATCCTTTACTCTTCCAGATAAAGATGAAGTAACCAAGCACTATAGCATGACCAAAAAGAGCAACAAAATGTAAACTAATGTATGTTGTATTGATTGATATTTTAAGCATTATTTCTTTGTAGAGATTTCGATGTAAGTTAGCTAAGAAGCATAATGCTATTAGCATTTATGCAGGCACAGATTGATTGTTTTTGCTCATATTTTCACACTCCACAGAAAAAAATAGCCTTTTTTAAGTCTTCACATGATCATGTGTAAATGTGGAGAATTGTCCGAGTGCAGGCAAGGTAACTAATTGGCCTGTTTAGATTCTTTAGAGTGACATAAAACAAGCAAAAAGACCAATAAATAGTGGTTACTATGACAGTTCCAGCTGTTTCCTGAGCAGAAGCAGAAGTTCACTCGGCTCATGTTTGGTTCAGTTCATGGTTTTTCAAGGTGGAAAAACTCTCTTATAAAGCGAAACGAAATGTGTGGCTGGTGCAAATTAACCACACAGAGTTGTGAAATTATCAACCTTGGAAGATCTGTTTGAAATAAAAGGTAAAAGATCTCTATTTCTCTATCTTTCCTGATTAAATAAGTCTCAGGAATAGTATAAAATCCAGTTGTTCCAGTGCAACACTACCTGCATTGTCCACCCAGGTAGTTAGTACCGTGATGTAACGCTGATTGTTTATAGATCTAGTTTTTGCTATGTAGTAGTTTTATTTAGGGTCCTTTGTTGTACTTCACTAGAAGTCTTCTAAAATGTTCTACCACAATCAGTTGCACTCCTTTGGTTTACATGACCAATAACCAGGTACCACAGATATTTGGTGGAGATTCTGAAGTGTTCAATATCTGCCTCTATACTGATTTGTACACTGTTTACCAGTGCTCCTCAAAGGAACCATTTCACATCCGCTGATAAACAGACAGAGATTATTGCTCCATCTTTAAACTAATAACAGATTTTGTCCAGACCAGGAGACCTGCTCAAGCTTTTTAATGTACATAAATCAGCTTTGTATTAGTGTTACATGTACGTGTGTATTGCAGTCAAATATATATGTATACATATATCAAATAAATTATGGCGTATATTCTTGATATGTGTTTGGTTGAGCATGCTACCTTTGTTGTATTTGCTAACTATTTGCTAACCTTCAGTAACAACACTAATCGTTTACTCTAAACTGCTGCAACTGCCTTTTGAGGTTACGGGACAACTTGAAAAATTTAAATGACTGAAATGCAATGTTTTCCTTCTTTACATATTCAAACAATAATTCCTGGCTGAATTTATTTTTAAGTTAACCTTTTTTAAAGTTAACCATTAAAGCTAACTATTAACCATAAAAGTGATATCAAATATTCAGAATGAGAAGCAGATAGGCGGTAATGAGAGTTATGGTAGGCCAACAAATTTTTAAATATAAAAATGAATAATATATTTTTTGCTGTACCATATAAAACTCCATGTGGTGTATTATAATGTATTAATATTATTTATTGACATGATTATTATGGCGTGATGATTATGACAAATATTTATGGACGTGGTTTGAGGCTGCTTTTTGAGAATAACCCTTTGACTCACTGAGGCTGTGTTATTGCTTTCTGTCACAGGATTTCGTTGAAGATAGAACCTGGGAACAGTTCACCGTGCATGGCCTCCTCCAAAGAAGACCTTGCAGGTAAAAGCTGTAATTGTCCCCTCATGTGCACTGTGTGCACACAGTGGCCCCAAAACATATTAGACACTTTTTAGGTTCATAAAACGTTCAAGAAAATGATATTTATTTCAGATGAAAAACATTTTTAGCACAACACTAAACTGGTGGTAAGACTCTTTAAAGCCTGAAGAAGAATTCCAGCCAGACTGCACTGTGTACTCTAAAGCACAAAGGAGGAAACCTCAAAGCCTGGGGCTGTTTTTCTCACAGTGATGTCCATGAGCTTGTGGTCACTGATAGGATCATGGACTCAGAAGTGTACAAAGGCATTCTGGATACAAACCTGCGGAGGTCTGCAGAGAGACTGCTCAAAAAAATAATGATTTGAAACCCACTAGCCATCTTTTGAAAGAATACTTTGTCGAAAAGTACAGTCTTAAAATGATCTGTTTAAAATAAAAGCCTCTTAAATGAACAATGAACAATGAACTTGATGGTACAAATATCCAAATACTATTTGGGGCCACTGTATGTCAGTATTGCAACAGTGTCTTCTTAAAAGACACAACAGTTGGTCTGCAGGCTACAACTGGAACTGGAACCCCTTTTATCTTGCAAGCCAGCTTCTGGCTTTCACTAGAAAGTCTTGTAGGTGTAATCTCTCAGTGTGATCAAGAACAGTCTACTTTGACAGGAAGGGGCTGTTTGATTGACATGCAGAATGACCAATCACAGACCATTGCTTTGTCAAAACAAAATCAGAGTGCTATACATAGTCTTAGCAGTCAGCAGCCACCGACAAATGTTCTTGGTAATACCAAAGAAAGGATGTTTAAAGGAGCTATGAACTTCACAAATAGCAGTTAATCTTGCTTTAAAAGGCTCGTTGTGGTCACAGTGTGCTGACCTGCTTGCCACTAGTGACTAGCTGGCATTTAGTTTACAAAACAATTCCTGTCAGACTGATAAAAACTGAGGCCGGAAGTGCATATACATAGAAGTCTACCTGCAATATTCGGTAATTCATTTTACTGACAGACATTTTTCAAAATAAAAGGCCCCTTTTTTATTTTGAAAGCCTATATTATTGTCAGTTAAACACCTTGTTTTCTGGACAGCCAAAATAAAAATGACCTTGCTTTACCCCTTTGGTCATTGGTGCTTTGACATGTTTTGCCTATACTTTCAACTTCTTTTTAATCATTTGCTTTTTTTACTGTGTCTCCTTAAAATGTTATTATGCCAAAAGATTTATTCAACAGTCTATACATTGTTAATCCTAAGTGTAACTCTCTTGGGGCTAAATGCTAGCACTGTCATCCCAAAGATTTATAAATTCTGTTTGGCCTTTACATTAAAAGTAATGGATGTTAACCCAACAGAAATATATGTTATGTGGATCTTTAAATTGCAATGCAGAGTAGTCTGCTTACATTTATGTGGCTATGCAGCATCTAGAGGGAATGAGTTTTATGGCCCTGTAAAGTTCCTTCATGCAGTGAGTCCCATCACCCTATTAAGATTCAGTTGAATGATTGTTCATAGCATATTTATGAGTAATTTACTGTCCATATATTAAAGTGGCATGTAAAGAAACAAATACTTAAGAAAAAACAAATAATGAAAAATAAGTTGAAAGTAGGCGATACATGCCTAAGGGTCAAAGCCCTTAATGACCAAGGGGGTGAAGCGAGGTCATTTTTATTTTGGCTGTCCAGAAATTAGGCGCATAACAGAAAATAATATGGTTTTTCAAAATAAAAAATGAGTGCTTTTATTTTGAAAAAATGTCTCTCAGTAAAATGGCATAGTAGTCAATATTAATTTCATGTCAAACATGTATGCTTCATGTCGATTTAAGCATTTATAAGCATGTTATGAAGTGTTTATGTAAGATGTTATAAATGTAATGTATCCCAGTATTCTTTTTGACTATCTCAGCATGCAGTTTATGCCAGACTCTCTGTCTAGGCTAAGATTCAAGTGTAGCTGAGTATCTGACTCTCAGTTGACCCTTTATGACCTCCTAAGGGAAAGCAGCTCTTTCAGTTCTGTTGTACCCCACCTTAATGTGTCGTGTGGTGGCAGAATGAGGTCATTAGCAACTTCTCTCAGCAGACAGCAGAAGACCTATTGAAGGACCCTGGGGGCTCAGTAAGAGTTGGTTCTGTTTGTCTCGTTTAGGTATAGGTCAGGAACAGAAACAAAGGAAACTACTTCAGGCACTTTCATGGGCTGAGACAACAAAAAGTGATCTGAGACCCTCAGAGGAACCCTGGTCATCTAAGTACAACACGCTCTCGTGTTGTTCACAGTTCTGATGTTCAGGGCTCAGAAACAGAATAGAAAAACTCAGCTTACTCTGAGCAGGTCTAATATTTTAACATTTTCCAACAAAAATCCTCTGAACTGATTAGAAAAAAGTATAAAAACAGTTATTGTTCCTATTATGCAGATTTAATCTAATTAAATTGCAGGTTTGAAAAGTTGTTCAACCAGCCAGCTGTTATATTGATTAGTCCATGTCCACACACAAGCTATGGAATTTTACTGTTCATGAAGCATTAAATTGCTCCTACATGTAGCTATGAAATATCCAATAAAATGATCAGAAATTATGATCAAAATAAGTATAAATGCAACATTATATGTCAACATGCACACATCCATTGAATAAAATTGTGTGAGATGTGACGTGATGCTCCAGAAATTTTGGGAATTTTGGAGGTAAAACATACAAGTAAGCTGAAATAGTAAATAACAATACTATTAAACTAGGTGTACTTATTTTGATCATATGATAATTTTTAATGGTATTCTGATATATTTTAATAGTAAGTAGTAAATAAATAGTAAGTTAAAAAAACTACTGTTATTAACTGGTAACTAATATTTAAAATTAATGTTTCTTTTCTAGAGAAGTTAAGGATGTTTGGTGGTTACTTAGGCAGTCTGGAACTTGTCCAGATGGACTGTGGGAATTTAGATAGAGCTGGTTGCTTTGGAGGGGTTTGCAATGGGGGGAGGTGGGATTATGGTAGGGATTGGGTGGGTTTGGACTCATTTTACTCTGGCTGAAGACAACATTTGCTTCAGTATTAAACTGAAAGTTGTAAAATGAAGAAAGCAGCATTGGTGCCTGTTGTAAAAAGCACAATGTGGGTCATGCACATGAACATTTGGATGAGGATAACTTTTGCTTTGAAGTGCAGAGTTAAGTCATACATTGTAAATGCTGTATGTTCAACAACATGCAGAGGGCCACACGTTGTAAAACCCAGCCAAGCGGTTGCCAGCATGGCCCAGTCACGCAACATAGCAAGCCAGTAGAGTTATTTCACCATTATTGCAATCGTACTGCCTGCAGTCAGTCTCAGTCATGATCTGAACCGTGGTAACACTGCCTATGGGCTTCCCTTAGCTATTGTTCCACATAGCTCAGCTCTGTAAGCTGTTTTGGGGAGTTGCCATGGTTATCTGTAAGCACTCGGCCTCACTCCATTTTACAATGCATTTTATCCCTGTTACAAGACCAGAGGAAAATGTCTTGAACACTGTTTTTTTCCTTCTTTCCAGTGTAATTATTCTCTTCATTCCAGACACACCAGGAGAAGAAGCTAATTGTTTTCCTGAATATATCTAACTCATAAATTATGGCTTTATGAGCACTGAAAGCTTTTTCCTTCATAAAACGATGTGGTCAGATAGCCATCTCACCAAATGGCGCAATGTAATTTCAGAATTTCAGAATATAGCATTTATTGTTTGTTACTCAGTTCTTCCATGCATGATGTCTGTTTTAAGCTGCCATCATAATGATGACACTACCTGTCATAAAACCACAAGTCTTTTGAAATCATTTTTATGGTCTGGAATCTTATGGAGAATTTCCATGGAAATTGTGGGATTGTTTCAGGAAAGAGAAACCATAAATGTCACGCATGGAATTTTTTTAATATGAAGGGCTGTTTTTGAAAGAGAAGTGGAAAATCTCTTTCTTAAAGTCAACTCTTTTATGTCTCAGGAGAAATAATGCATATCTCAGTGTTGTATTGATGAAAGAGCACTTTTTTCCCTGAACCCCACTTAGGAGAAAAGAGGAGATTGACACAAACGCTTAAAGAGGAATTCCAGCCTAAAACTTATATTTAATGTTATTTGTTCTGTAGCCAGAGTTGGGTAGAAAACTTTGGAAAACACTGTTCTAAATTTATTTAGTAATGTAATCCATTGTAGGACATGAAAAACATAACATATTCAGAATACATTAAGAATACATTTTGATGATGCACTTGGGAAAAACTTAACACAAACAAATCCCTGGCAACAAATCTTTTTATGGATTGGTTGCCATGATGACATTTGTGCTCTCCATTTACATCACTTAAATGAAAGAGGAAGATAGTGGAGACTATAGTACAAGGTTATACATGACAAAAGTCAAAGATGTGAAACACTTCACTTTAATATTAACTAAAAAAGAATGATTTCCTGTAAGATGTGTAAAACTGAGCTCACCTTTGTCTCCAGCGTTTTGAATTGAGCAATTTTTGTACTAACCGAATACAGTGAGAAACTGAGCAGCGCTGCTAACATTGTGCAACATTTATGCCTCGTAATTCTATTCAGTCAAACAGAATAAAGTCGGCAAAGATGGACTAAGGTAGCAAATATTGACTTTTTTCACCTCTGTTTTGTTAGCCTACAAGTCTCCACCCGTATTGGGGAATTTGTTAGCGCAGCATTATACACTCAACTTATGTCACATGGTATCAACTGGTATCAGATATTGGTATCGGTACATTTTTTGAGTGCAAGTACGAGTAAATGAGCACAGTGCTGGCATGACACCTGATACCAGTATCGCTATCGACGCATTCCTAGTGTTTTCATGTGAACGGATGTTTTTGAAAATGCTGGCATGCATGTTTACCGCTGTTTTCACAAGTGGTGAACATTGTATATGGAGGTTACATGATATTCCCAACCACCGGTTTATCAGTGGAGGAGTAATAATTTGC